ATGGCTGTTTCCTTCACCCTCGTCGATCTTAAGTTTCTTGTTTAGCAGTTTTAGCTTTAACACGGTAGCCGCTAAGACCAACGCTTGCAAAGGTAAACGAAACTTATGAATAGTGTCGCCACTATCATGCCCTTGTCATAGTGCCACTGGTTAGAAAGATCCGCAAGATGAAATTTCTATTGTCTTGTACCTCTAGCCGGTCAGGAGGCTTAGAAAATACTACCAGGTACAGCTTGCATATTAGGTCAACCTTGCTCAATTTTTATCACGGTTTGCCTCACATTTTACTTTTTCTGCACTCCAAACTAGTCTTACACTCTTTTGAATCACTTTTTCAAGAATACCTATACATTCATTTATTTTTATTCGGTCTTGTACTTCTAGCTGGTAGGATCTAAGGGAGCTTCTAAAATACTACCGGCGAGAGGTACAGCTTACATACTTAGTGGACTTTGCCTGATTTTTGTTATGGTTTGCTCCACATTTTACTTTTCTGCACTCCAAGTTGTAGTGTTACACAATTGGGCAAAGTAATGACAAATAAACTACCTCCAGTATCTCAGGCTATTATTCATCTTGTAAAGCGCAAGTGTGCTAGTGAGTGATGTTCCACAAACGCCGCCAGAGTAGAAAGAGTGGGCTGAACTGCTCGGATAAATATGGGTGTTTAGATAGTGGAGAAATGGGTGAAAATATGCGTAATAATGAAGACGACGGTTCTAGTGACGATAATGAGAGTGATGAGGAAGAAGATGGTTGAAGATCCATATGATTCTGATGTTTTGAATGACTAGGTTTTATAAAAGGACACTGCCAGTCCCAAGTCACTAAAAGATTTACTAAGATTAAATCTCGAATGCCTGTGGCTCTCTGGAGTACAACAACAGGTTTACTTCTGAGAAATGAATAAAGGGGGTAAGTTTCCAAAGAAATTGTGGTGCTGCGTTGGTGGGCGGAGTATAACAAGGTAATTTAATATTATCAACTTAGTTGATAACGCGAATTGGCCACAGTAAAGAGTTTCAAGGCGACGTTTCGAGGTTTAGCCCTTCGTCAGAGCGAATGCAGGAACTTTGGGTTGTGTGTGTTTATATGCAGAAAATGGAGCTACTCTATTGGTGGGAATATGGTGATGAGAAAACAAGAATAAATTAGTTGAACGAAAAGTGCTCGTTGATACTGTGGGGCTTTCCGAACTGCCTAGATCAGTGTAGGGAAAAGCCGCAAACAGCCACATACTGCTTAGAATAATTTGGGAGATTTAAGTGTTTAGCAACTGGTTTGGATCCGTCTTTGTCATTTTTTTTCTACCTTGCGAAGGTGTTCTCGTAATCGGCCACCTAGTCGTCTTCCCGAAAATGAAATTAGTTGATGTTATGGAAAGGTAGTACCAGACTCTGAATCGTTTTAAAGTAGTCTAAAGTTTTTAAGAATGATAGAATTAACTGTGTGGTTATGAGGGTGGAATGTGATAGTGAATGGAATGGGATCGGTATTTTCTCTCCGTGTCGTTTGTAGTGCTGACTGTCGATCAACTTGTTGGGCACGGTGGCGGCCCGCCTGAACGACAAAAGGGACCTTAAGCAGTCAGGACGACAACGCCAAGGAAGACTTCGATTAAAAAATGAATTTCTGCCTTTAATTAGAATTTCAAAAATGGCTGCATGTGTTTACCGTCTCATACGGCGCCACACCTCAACTTCAGCATAACGTATAAAAGAAGCGTCGAGTTCCAAATGAAAATTAAAATAATTTGCCGTCGCGGTTTCGGTTCGCAGACGACGCAAACTGTGGTGATTTCACGTTGTTGTTTTGCATGAGACGACTAAGAAATGTACAAAGTTCTAAAACGCACGTGCTGAGCTATTGTTCTGCCAATTAGATCTTTTGTTTTTCCATGTCCTCGTTGCCGTCGCCGTCGTGGTTTGCTTGAGGTCCCTAATAACGGTATAGCCACGCATATCGAAAAACTGGCACATTGCCTCTGATTTTTCGGAAAGATCAGAGCCGTCATTAAATATTTCCGAGTAATATTGCCTTTAATGATTATGTCGGGAATGATAGCGAGTTTTATTTTGGTATAATTGAACTCTCAAGCAAAGCCAGATATCACAGTCTCGCTTTCATGTTTTTGAAATCCACGTGACCAGCACATTTTATCGGAAAGGAACAGTTGGAGCTGAAAGAAATTTCTACGCTGTTTATGAAGAATAGCAAAGCATTTTAGACACTGTTGGAAGGTCAAAAGATTCTTTAGTAGACCAGCCTCACTTCCATGATCATTTAGTCATTTGACCAATCTTGTGACGCCCAGTTACAAAATATGCGTTTAGGACATCAACGAGAACATATCTTTGGTTCTATTTTGGTGCTACTTTCATATAATAAACGAAGTTATGGCATGTTTTATGTAGTAGCCTCGTTTTCATGCAGGGTCTAAGGAGGCATTTCTAAAACATCCTTTTATAAGCGTTTGAGCAGGTTGCAAAAGTGGCGACACGACTTTTTTAGTAATTAAAAGTTCCCCTGAACATGTCTAGTGCAGTGGCTTGCTTTCAGCAAGAAATTTCCACGGAACTTGAATTATGTACTTTTGCTCCTGGACTAGTACGTGTTGGTAGACGTAGTTTGGCCGTAATCGTCTCTTCTTACACATTAGAGTGGAATTATGACGACGCCTTAAACAACCTTGCAAGGTGAAGTTAACCATCTCTGGGCAAAGTGTCAGAAGATCCTTTGCAAATTATACCATTTCCTTCAAAGCGCATCGATTTGTTATGTAAGGAGGATTTGCGTAACTTGGAGTAATGCTTGCAGTTATTTGTTGTTTCAAGAAGATAATTGAATGATGTTGGGACGATGTTGATCTCTGGTTGGATATTAATGTAATGACATATATATTATTATAATTAGGCGTAAAATTTCATATTTTTGGCGTCCTCGGCCTCAGCGTGCGAAGGATTTGTGATCTCTTGTTTAATTTTAAATCATCGTTCTCATTCAAACATCCATCATATTTCTCAACAATTAAGGGTGAATGTCTAACTATCTCTCTTTATTTTCTATAAAGTCTTCTAGTTTGTAACTGATGCCAGAAGAGAATAATAATTTTATTAAATTTTATAATTTATTTAATTATAATTTAATAATTAAAAAGAAGCAAGTCAAACATATTGTGTTCCTAAATTTTGACCATTAACACGACAAGATCAAATTGGAATAATCTCCAGTTTCGAGTTAGACCATATTTTATGAAATACAGGGCTCGTGAATAACGGTAAACACGTTTGGATATAACTTCAGTGTTGTCTTTTTCTCACAGCTTTTAGCCGCTTTTCGTGCTATTGTTGATATTGATCTGAATTTTAATCAAACGCCAGAAATAACCGTGCTGGATATGTATAACGAATACGTGTGAGAAGACAATACTGACCTGGCAAAGAAAGATGTCCTGCGCTCGTAAAGCGCACTGGGATTTGTCACTAGCTACATGATATGTC